GGGCCCTTATTTACATTCCACCCCTGTGAACTGTAGGCCTCACTGTGTATCAGTACCTAATATGTATTATTGTAGCCAGTATACCTTCATGTGCACTATTGCAATTCGGTGTATTCTAGCTTAGATTTTTGCTGTTTTCAAGTGCCAAGCCTTGTAACTATATTTTTTTTTAAGTTTACAGGAAATTTTTTCTTATTATTTTATTATTTTGGTTTCAGTCTCTTTCCTATTGCAAGATTTTTAAAAACTGGAACACTGTGAAACTACCTTTGTAAAGGAGTTGGGGGACAGATTGCTAAAACTTTGACTTATTTGTTCTCTTGTTTTTGGACAAAAATTATAGGTGAAGCCTAACGAGTAAATATCTTTGTCAAAGTCACCAGGGACAGTAGTTACATAGTGTCTCTTGGGGTTTACCCCGGCAAACCAGGGACAGTAGTTACATAGTGTCTCTCGGGGTTTACCTCGGCTCTCAATGAACTTCTCATAGATGTCGGATATGCTCTTGTGACGCCGTTTTTAAGGCTGTTTTTTTTTTCCCACTGGATGGAGTTGGCCATGTGCATTGAACAGCTGCTCAGCATTTGCCTCTGTGAACGTGCATACTGCCGCTGGCCTCCCTCGCCCTTCCTTTCGGCTTTCTCCTGTCTTAGTAAAGGAAACTTATCCTCATGGTCTGTGAGTCTGTGGGTCTGCCTGTCAGACACAACCAATGGGGAGAGGCCTCGCTTTTGGTCTGTGTCCAACTTAGCCATCTAAGCTAGGAGTTGGCTTCATCGATCCCACAGGTGTTCCCAGAGTGCTTCCTGTGTGTCTACGACTCAGGCTTCTAGCCAGACAAGGTTTGAGTGAAGCCTAGGGTCTTCTGGTGTGTTTCCTAAATTATCAAAAGAATAAAGCTAAGGGGCTGTGCATGCAGCTAAGTTGGGAGTGTGCTTGGCTAGTCTGCACAAAGCCCTGGGCTTGATCTCAGCACTGTGTGAGCTGGGCCTGATGGGACACCCCTGTAGTCCCAGCCTTTGGGAGATGGAGGCAGGAGGCCCAGGGGTTTAAAGTCATCCTTACAGTATTCAAGGTCAGTCTGAGATCCATGAGGTCTCATATCATTGAAATAGTAGTAATAGTAATAGTAATAGTAATAGTAATAGTAAGTAGTAATAGTAATAGTAATAGTAAGTAGTAATAGTAAGTAGTAATGCCTTGGGCAGCAGAAGAGGCAGTGGGAGTCCAGCCTATTATCACAGAGACTTTACTCAGGTGTAGGTGGGATTCTTGCCTGTGTGGTGGAAAAGGATTTCAGGATGAGTCGGTATGAGTAAAGTCATAATTCATGAAGGAAGAACCTGGCGAGATGGCTTAGTGTGGGTAAAGGCACTGGCCACCCAAGGTTGATCCCTGGCATCCTTGTGAAGATGAAAAAGAGAACATACTTTGTTCTCTGACTTAACACATGTGTGCCATGGCATGCATACCCTCCTCATAGGCACATAATAATAAAAATCATTTTTAAAATGAAAAAAAGCTCTAATATAGATTTTAAGTGTTTGTGTTAAGGGCATATTTGAGAGCTGTTTTGGGGGAAAAAAGTACACACTTAACTGTGGATATATGTGGACTTCTCAAGAGAATATCGTTCAGAGAGATCTTAAACAATCCTTTTTAAAAATATTTTTTTTAATTATGTACATGTGTGCCTGTGGGTGTATGTATGTGTGTACAGGCACCTGCAGAGGGCAGAGGTATTGGATCCCCTGGATCTGGAGTTACAGACAGTTGTGTGAGCTTTAATATGGGTGCTGGGCACACCCCAGGCCCTTGGAAAAGTACCCTTAACCACTGAGTCATCTTTCTAGTCCAATGAACCTTATTTTTTTTTTTTTTAGAAAATAAGATCATAAGGTGATATCTAAGGTGCTTTGGGCAGAATTACAAGCGTATAAGACAAAGAGCATTGCTCAAAAATGGAATTCTTACTGACAACAGGACAAGAAAGTTAGGGCTTGTGTGCTGGCTGTAATCAGTGGTTTCACCTCCCTTAAGAGATTTTCCTACAGTCACAGTGCTACCAATAAAAGGTTTAAATTAATTTGATGTTTCCCTCCGTTCACTGTCATTTTAACATTCTTATCTGAAATACCTCAGTTGATTTCTCTATAGGCAATGTCATGGCAAATTTTGTTATGTTGACCTTCTTGACCCTTTTTGAGACAGGATGCCATGTAGCCTAGGCTGGCCTCCAACTTGCTATGTAGGTGAGAATGGCCTTGGACTTGTGACAATTCCCACCCCCACCTCCTGAGTGCTGGGATTACAGTTGGGTACCACCACAGCTGGTTTAAGGGGTCCTAGGGTAATGAACCCAGGGCCCTGTGCACATGAGATAAACACCGGCTGAACTACGTCACCCCTTGCCCTGTCCTGCGCAGTGAGATGCCTTCCAGTCTCAGCCTGCTGCTGGAGCACAGACTCCACTTCATAGCACTCTTCTGAAGCTCCGAGCCCCGACCTCTGTCACCCAGGAGTATCTAACAGTTGGCCTCACATTGGCAGGTCTTTGTGGGGTGCTGGTGGATCAGAAGGGCCAAGGAAGAGAGGCCCAGAGCTCTTCTTCCCATCACCACAGATGACAGAAGCAGCAAAGTGAACGTAGAGGCTCGCTTCCCTCATTGACTGTGAAGGTCTCAGAGGCCATAGCTGGGAGCTTCTGCAGCCTTTTTTACCTCCCCGAGTTTAAACACACAACACGCTGAGGGGGATAGACTAACAGCTCAGGGTGTGAACTTCACAGAGATGGGGCTCAGTGCTTGTGTTCCTGTGTCAGATTGGGCCTGTCCTCCCATTGCTGTCCCCTCTTTTGTATACGTAGGGGAATGGCTCACTGTGAGGCAGGGGGCAGTCATGTGGCAGGTTGTATTTCAGCCTCATTAATTAGATTATTAGTTTCAGTTTTAATTAGTTCAAATGAGCCACTCATTTACTGCTTGTGCTCATGACTCTCCCCCCCCCCCCAGTGTAAAACATGTTTGTGTGGCTAGAACCAAGCAGGAGACATGGCTTTGGTTTTATCTAGAGGGACCTGGGTCTGGTGCCACTCACTTCTCCTCCCTTTGACTTTGTGAGTCATGATGGAACCCTCCAAAGAAGATGCACAAGAGCCGGTCAGCGAGTGAAGAGAGGTTCAGCCTCAGGACTCCTCAGGGAAATGTAAACGAAAACCACAGTGAGATGGCCTCTACCCACAGGGGTGGCGGCATCAGAGCCTTGTGATACAGAGTTGGTGGGGATGGGAGTGATGCAGCTGCTGTGGAAAACAGGTCCTTAAAGGATTCGGACTGCTTCATCCAGTGGGTTCACTTCTGGGCACATACCCAGGAGGACTGAAAGGCAGGATTTGTTCACCCGTGTTCACAGCATCATTATCCATGTCAGCCAAGAGGCGGAAGTAACTCAGATGCCTGTCAACAAGTGAATAGATCAGAAAAGTGCATATGTTCATACTCAACACACATAGGGGAACATCAGTAAGCCTTAACAAGGAAGGGAATTCTGACAAGTAACTCTCATGCATCAACTTCAAAGATGTTATCCTATGTGGAATAAGCAAGCCACAGATGGACCAATACTTTGTGGTCCTCTTTTATGGTGTGCATTGAGGTGTCACCTTCATGAAGACAGAAGGTAGAGAAGTGATAGCCAGTGGCCTGGCACGCTGCTCAGTGTGCTGTAGAGTTTTAGTCCTGCGGGGAGAAAAGGACTGTCATGATGGATGGTGATGATGGCATCCCAACAATATGAAGACACTTAATGCTGCTGGGCCCCCAAATGGGGAAGATGCTCAATCTTGTTCGGCATGTTTTAATAGAATTACGAAATAGACTCCAGAAAAGGAACTCAAAAGGCCACTCTTGACCCTTCGTCACTTTGCTGCTTACATTTGGGAGAAAGTAAAGGCTTCCTGTCGGGCAGAATGCCACCAGATGGCGCTTCCCACCCCAGCCCTCTCCACTGGGAAAGCTACCTTGTCCTTCTGAGGTTGACCTCTGGCCCCACCAGTACGTGCTTGAGAAGAAGTCAAACTCACGGCTGAGGTCAGCCTCTGTAACTGATGACATCAGCCAAGGACGATTCGCCGTGATTTTACCTGTGGCTTTTGCTTTTACTCCTTGGCCAAATAGAGAACAATGGACTGCTCTTGTCCCGTAAGGGGGTGGAGGGAGGTGTGTGTGTGTGTGGGGGGGGTACATCCCTATGGTTTCGTCAGCGGTCTGAGAGCTGTTTGCCTGGGAGTGGTGACTGACGAGCCTGACTCATTTGGACACTCATGCCTGCTGCTGCCATGATGGCTGATGTTGACTGCAGACACTGAATGGACAGTTCTGGCTCCCTTTAGAGCCCTAAACATCCTTGATCAATCAGGAAGTTCGCAGACATCTCGTTTATTATCTTGACAGAGTTTGGCTTTAGTTCATGAAATTGTTCTCATTTGTTCATTTATGAGATGGGGGCATACATGCTGTGGTGTGCATGGAGAGGTCAGCAAATAACTTTTGGGAGTCAATTCTCTCCACCACATAGCGTCCAGGGACCCAACTTGGGCCATGAGGCCTGGCAGCAGGTGCCTTTGCCTACTGAACCATTGACAAGTGATTTTTGAACACTAATACTTTATTTCTAGATAGCTTATGTTAAGCCATTGGGTTATTTATTTCTGCATTTTAGAGCTAGGTCTGATGTAGTCCAGACTTGGTGCATTGCAAATGATGACCTTGAACTTCTGGTCCTCCTGCCTCTACCTCCCGAGAACTGGTATTACAGCCATGTGCTGCTGTGCCTGGTTTTCAGCATGGCTGAAAACCTAGGGCTTTGTAGGTGATAGGCAGACACTACCAACTGAGCTACAGCCCCAAACCTATTTGTTTATTTTTTCCTTATCGGGAGTTGAGTGTAAAATGCTTGATGGAGTTGTCACATTGTGTGTGTGTGTGTGTTTTGTTTTTCAGGATCACTTCATGGACTCACACCCCCATGTTGGTCAAGTGCCTGCATTGTTCCCAAGACCAAGGAAGACCTGCTGAGCGTTAACCTCCCTCCCAGCAGAAGCCAGGCTGCAGGTAAGGACAGCTCAAATGCGTGGGCCTCATAAAGCGCTTGACCCACTGAATAATAAAGAAGGGTTTATTCGCTCCAGCGACCGGATTTGATGACGGCCACAACCAGATATCCATCCATTTGATTTCCGCTCTGTGGCTCTACAAGCTTCGATGTGTAAGAATGAAAACTTAAAAACCTGTTAAATATGTGTGGAGCCTGGCAGGAAGTACAAGTGTGTTGGCTCACAATAGTTCCCTGCTGAAGAAGATTAAAGGGGCATGGAGGAGGGTTGGAGCAATTTTTAATTTGCATTTTGCTTACCTGCTCAACTCCTTGAGCTAACCTTAAAGGGGATTTGAAGAAACCATGCCTTTTTCTCTTGTCCACATTCTAAACTGTAAGTATTTGAATGTTTTTTTTTTTTTTTTTCCCCACTGCATCCTAAAGTGAATTTACTAGGACTGTGGTTGTTTAGGAACAGGGACCTCAACAGGTCCTCTGGGCCCAAGGGTTCTTCTGCACCTGTAGATTCTAGCTGTCAACTGAATATATGTATTTTTAGTGACAACATCACTGAACATGTACAAACCGTTTTCCTGAAATGATTCAGTGGGAAATACAGAGTGACACCAATTTCCATAGCATGTCCGCTATGGTCAAGTGTTGGCCATGTAATCTAAGAGAAAAAGTGCATGGCGGGGGCGGGATATATGGTATAAGTAAAAAGATTGCACTCAAAGACGTGAACATTTGAGGGTTTTGGAATCTGGAGGGATCTTGAGATTCATTCCCCAAGACTATGTGAGGTGATGCCCTGAATAATAATTCCTGTGTAATGAAAATGTCATTTCTCTGGTTGTATGTCCATGTGTCTAGACTTTTCCTCCATTTTTGCTGCGAGGATCCTTAGCCAACCCTGGGTCTGAAACCTTTTAGCTAACACTTTTATACCTGTTCAGTTTTAACAGTGTACCGATGATGATGCACTTAAAATACCTAGCACAGGAGCATGCCATGTAATCTGTGTGACCAGTGTAGCCTTTCACAATCAAGGGCACCAGTTCATCAAATGGCTCGACTCTGCACCTTTGAATCTTGTCAGGCATGGAAAGAAATGTCCCGCACCCTCCATTCCCCTTGTTTATTATGATTATTGTTTATTATGATTACTTATTGTTTATTATTGTTATTATTAATTATTATGTTTTAAAAACTGTCTTATTGCAGTGTAATTTAGATCATGACTCATACTGATACAACTGTTCTCAGGTTCTTTAGGTTAAAATGGGGAACTCTGAGAGTCAGTATACCTTCCAAGGATCCAAGAATCATAGCAATACTGTCACTGGTGCTAAACAAAAGCCTTGCTCTCTGAAAATACGCAGCATTCATACAAAAGATGAGAAGTCTTTGCATGGATGGACTCACGGAAGCAGCGGAGCAAGCTACCGGTCCAGGTCCCTCGCCCGAAGCTGCCTTTCTCACTTCAAGAGCCACCAGCCTTACGCCACCAGACTCAGTGGACCCACGTGCAAAGTCTCAAAGGGCGCTGCCCACTCTAAGCACAGAGCGAATGCCCCAGGAAGTGATTTCCAGGGCAACAATGGTGCTTTCTTACCCGAGAATGGCTTCCACTATGTTGGCCACGAGTCGGGGGAGAGCCACGTGACCTCCAGGGACTGCAATGGGCACCTTCTCACCTGCTACAGGAGAAACGAGAGCATCGCCTCCACCCCACCAGGCGAGGACCGCAGGAGCCCCAGGGTACTCATCAAGACACTGGGGAAGCTGGACGGGTGTTTAAGGGTTGAGTTCCATAACGGGGGCAACCCCCACAAAGGGCCCTCGGAGAACCCCAGTGGACCTGTACAGCTGCTGAGATACTCCCCTACGTTGGAAACCTGCTTGGTGCCAGAAGCTAGGCGGGATTCGGGTGCCGACTCCCCAGCCAGGCAGCGCCCCTCTCCCACTGACTCTCGCCTGCGCTCCAGCAAAGGCAGCTCCCTGAGCTCGGAGTCATCTTGGTATGACTCCCCGTGGGGCAATGCCGGGGAGATGAGTGAGGTAGAGGGCTCCTTCCTGGCCCCCAGCACTCCGGACCCCAGCCTCCCCACCGGCTTCCCACCCAGTGACACCAAAAAAACTTTCAACCAAAGCTCCTCCCTCTCCTCCCTCCGGGAACTGTACAAAGACGCCAACCTGGGATGCCGCTCTCCGTCTGGAACCTGCCGCTCTTCCGATGAGTACATCGGCTCCCAAGTCAGCCTCAGCAACCGCGTCTCCTTTGCGTCTGACATTGATGTGCCCTCCAGGGTGGATCACAGGGATCCCACACCCTACAGTTCCTTTACTCTCCCCTGTCGAAAGTCCAAAGCCTTAACTGAGGATGCTGCAAAGAAAGATACCCTCAAAGCCAGAATGCGACGCATCAGCGACTGGACAGGAAGCCTCTCTAGGAAGAAGAGGAAACTACAGGTAAGAACGCTCTGGAGTGGTCAGGGTGAAGGGTCCTAGAGTTTTCCCATCTGTATTGGGAGCTACTCGGACCCTCGGGTGAGCTGGTGAATGGAAGGGTTTGATTGGACCCAGCATGGCTCCTTTTCTGATGGGGGTTTGTCTCTCTCATTTGATTTAGACAGACACTTTGAGTCTTATCCGCCAACTCCAGTATCTCCATGTTTTAGCTAAGGTATGGGGCAGAATACCACTACTAACTGGGTGGCTGAAGGATAGATTGGTATTTCATGGTTCTGGAGGTTGGAAAGTCATGAGGCACTGTGGTGAGATTCTGGGTAGGGCTTGTTCCTGGCTGCTAAAGGTTCCATCCTTACACAGGAGGGAAGCGGGGAACCCTAGTCTCTTTCTCTTATGACAAGGAGACCAGTACCCTTAGGACTCTAGCTCCTGGCTCTCATCTAAACCTAATACCCACTTAAAGCCCCTTACCCCGACCCCAGAACTGTCTCTGTGGGGGTTAAGACTTCGGCATAGGTGGGAGAAGACAGAACAGCATTCAGCTGTAGCACCCAGGTCCTGTACTTAATTGCCTTGGCATTTGTCCGCAAGCCTGAAAGCCTGGTTCTGAAGCTGGTCCAACTCTTCTTGGAAAGCATAGAGCGGGGTGAACGTCCAAGTGACCTGGTAATCTGAGGTCTTTGTTAGACCTCAATCATGAAGTCTGAATAAAAGCGGTAAGGAGACAGTCATTAAGTTCAGATCGGGAGGCCTTCTCAACTTGATATTACTTTATATTTAAGTTGGTTCATAGACCATTGAGAATAGGCCTGTGTATGGTGCTGGAGAGGGAACCCACTGCCTTATACATGCTGGGCAAGTGCTCTTACCGCTGAACTTAATCCCCAACCCTTTGGTCTATTTGGTTTTATTTATTTAGTGAGGTCATAGAGTTAAAAGGAATATGATTAGACAGTCAGTTTATAGGGGAACATTGTCTTACGTTGTCTTAACCCCGCAAGATGCACACATTCATATGAATATAAAACAAACAAGCAAACATGGGCCATTAAGAGCAGGTAACAATATAACCTCTCTGGTAGGACGTTTCCTATTTATAAAGTTTACCATTGGTTACTTCCTTCTTGTGTATGGTGCCCACCATCACCACCCTCTCTCCCAGGGGGGATGGAGGTCAGGTGGCCACCATGCTGTCTCCAGGACCTCTTTCATATCTCCCAGTGTAGCAATTTTCTTGCTCTTGAGTTAATGCCTCTTAGGCCAAATCACCAGACAGATGCTTTAGGCTTTTGCTCCTGGCTCTTGCTTCCCAAGCATCACACAGTGCTTGAGTAGAGCATGCTATTCAGCCTCTACTGCCCCAGGGCTTGGATCCCAGTATTACAGAGCTGGCTATATCCAGCTGCTGTCACCCTGTCCCCTCAGGCACACTGTCATGGATTGCCACTGTTTGTTGGCCCAGAGCATTTTTCGTCATCTGTGTTTGTGGCCTGACTCAGCATACAGTGATCCTGAACACTTGCAGGCTCTGTTTCACCGGTCCAAAGCTATCCCACCCATTACCATCGTGTGTGGACCACTTTCTGCCACATGCAGTCACTGACTGCCCAGCCTTCCCAGGGGGACTGAACCTCCCTCTGTTAGGTGTCATGCACAAACTTACCTCTGAGGTCTTGTGTGCCATGTGGAGTCATGAGCAAAAAATAAGTAGGGTTTTGAAAAGAGAATTTGAATGCTAGAAAGGACCTCCACATTTTAGAGACAAGGAAACTGCAGAATCAAGGGGTTTGCAGTCTCCCTGGTCAGTAGTGGAGAAGCAGGTTGGAGGACCTCAGACAAATGCTAAGATATTGTTGACTACTCTTAGTTTTTGTTGAATAGGATGATGAAAAATTTAGACCCTTTTGTTTTGAAGTGACCCATTAGGACAGCCTTCTGAAAGTTTTGTCTGTGGCTTCCCCAATGATTGCTGATCTATAGATGTGAACAGGAGTGACTGTTTTTGGTAAATATCTCAGCCCTATTGTTCAGACATTCCTTTTCCTCTCATAAAAAGGATTAGGACAAGGTCCTTTAAGATGTATTCCAGCCACGAATGATGGTTCAGGACCCTCATCCCAACTACTTGGGAAGCTGAGGTGGGAAGGTTGAGGTCTTTCTGGGCCACAGAGTGAGTTCAAAGATAGCCTGGGCGTCTTAGTGAGACCCTGTCTCAAAGTGAAAAATAAAAAGATGCTTGGGGACATGGCTCAGTAGAACAGCACATTTGCAGCTGAAGCCCTAGGCTCAGTCCCTAGTACCACACACAGAAAAAAAAAGGCAATCCATGCGTAGGAGGAGTCTGCGCTGAGATGTCTTAACAAGGCATTGAAGTGATAGCTACTTTTTTTCTCCCACATAAACTCTTGTATGCCAGCAGAGCAATGATTCAGAAAGCTTTGCTTGATGGACAGGCATTTGTTTTGACTTTCAAAGATGACATAGACAGAATAGCCCTTTCAATACAGACCTTTAAATCTGTCCTCATATGTGGGAGCCTGAAAACCAGACAGCTGGAAAAGAATACCATGCTAGGAGACAGAGAAACATGTACCGGAGAGTGCTCGGTAAACACCTCATACTAATTTTAGCTGACAAAGACCCTCATCCTGCCTTGGCTAAACATTGTGTTCTTTCAGGATGGGATAGGCTGTGCTGAGTTAACAGTGCCCCCTACCCCCATCTCTGTCACTTGGGATGACCACAGTTTGTTTCCCTATTCATGATGCACGTTCATCACAGTCAGCAGGTAGCCGGGGTCTGTGCTGTTCTTTGAGACCCTAGGTTGACGGAACAGCTGTCGTGAAGAACATGATAAACTACTACAGCAGAGAAAAAATTGTGTTAACTTTGAAAGCTTTCTCTCAGAACTGACATGGTTAACTTCGGCTTATGTTTCCTGGACACAGAAAATGGTAAGGCCAGGCCTGACTTCATGGGGGTGGGGTGGGGAAATGACCCTACCGTGTGCCTTGGGGAGGACCAGAAATGTTTGGTGGCATCACTGAGGACTTCTATGGCTTATTACAGAGAGGTTTTGGGACACAAAGACTCAGTTTCTGGCCCCCTTTAATGGTAAACTCTCACTTCTGTTCTGAAGTGACAGTCTCAGAGACCAGTGGCATGTGAGCAAGGACTCAGCACGTTTTCTAACACGTGAGGATAGAGATGGGGTTTCCTTTAAGGAGTTAGGCATCATCTTTTGCTTTTTCAGCTTTATTGGGGTATAACTAATAAGCAGAAATTGAATATATTTAACATGTATAACCACATAGACAATGGGAATAATGGTCACCATAACCAAGCTAGGTAATACAGTCACCACTAAACATAGTTATCCAGTTGGCTTTATTTTGTTGCGAGGCTGTTCATAATCATACTAGGCCTTAGCCTGTTTCATATATACAAAGGAACATCAGCTACAGTGGTAATGGTGTACACCAGATCTCTAGAGCTTGCTTGGCTGGTGTGTAGCCAAAGCTTTATACGGGTGCAGCCTCTTTCTTACCCTCGGCCTCCATGTCCACCTGTCTTGGATTCTCACATACGTGAGATGGGTCATGCAGTGTTTGCTTCTCTGTGGAGCGATGTTACTTTTACCCCCCTTACTTACAGTTGTTAGTGCCCTGGTCATCAGGTTACAGTAGCCACTGCCTATGGTTATGATTAGGTAGGAATGGAAATCACAGGCACTGTGCACACATATGGTAAGCTCTTGGGTCTCACACCCATCTAGCAGTTATTAGGAATTGTGTCTGGACCCATTTAAAGACATCTTATTTTTCAAAATGCTCTTCTTGGACCGAGATTTCATCACTGGCAATTGGGATTCTAGATGGACAGTTTTAGACATTGATGAGAGCCTGGGAAAATTCGTGCCCATGTGTCAGAATTCGTGATAAATACCCACATGTGGTATTTGTTCATGTCTCCGGAAGGAACAGTCTTGCTTTGCTATGGCCGGACGTTTAACAGCCCCGCAACATGAGGTCTCTTTCTTATGAGAATCAAGGACAACAACAGTGTTTATTGGTCGTATGCAATTTGGGGACGTCTCCCTGCCAAAGACTTGCTGGTTTTGAAACACCCCACTAAGGCTCTTTCTTGCAAGGAAAGCGATTCCCCCAGTGTTTAGGGGCAGGCAGTGTTCAGACAGTCACAGTAACATTCATGCTGCTCAATGAACAGCAGGCATTCCTTCATGTCCTCAAGAGTTTATGAAAGTCTCAACAAAGTGACAGTTAGGAGAAGAGTCTCCAAGTATCTTGAATTTCCTGAGTGATTCATAGCAGCTGCTTGATTCTCTCTTTGAAGCAGAGGTGTCAGCGCATAAACAAGAATGACCACAGGACGTAGTGTAAACACACTGGAAGATGCTATCATGATTAGTAAGAGCTGTTTGTGTTCTGGGCTCTGGTTTTAGCACCTGGGCCTTGGAAAACACTCTTCAGTTGCCTGGTGATGGTTTTCCTATCAAAGACACCCAGTAAATGCCATCTGATGTTTGTTTTTTTTTTTTTTTTTTTTTTTTTTTTTTTTAGATGAAATTTCCAAAAGAAAACGTCTCCACATGGTGGAGTGTTCAAAATAGAGCCCAAACTCAATGGCCCCTGACCCACTTTGGTTTTGATGGTTCGGGAATACTATCGGAAGCCCACCACAGCTGAGTCTGCCTGACTGTGGTTATGTTTTTGGTTGTGAGCCTAGCCATCTCTCCAGCCCTACTTGGCTCCTCTCAGCCCTCCCTTTGCAGTTGTATTAATCTGAGCTGAGTGTTTGTGATGGTGATGTCAGTGCTTTTTGAACTGGGAGTGAATTTACTGCTATCTTATTTATTAATTTATTTGGTTTGAAGTAGGATCTCACTCTGCAGCCCAGGCTGTCCTGGAACTCACTAGATAGTCCTTGTTGGCCTGAACTCATGGCATCCCTCCTGCCTCAGCCTCTCAAAATGCTGCTGGGTTACACGTGGAAGCCACCATTGACAGCTGGTTTCCTCCCATTCAGCAAGGAGTGCTTGGTCAGTCAGCCACTTTCCATGAAAGCTAATAAAGGCATCAGGATCGCCGTCTTCCATTTGTCCCCTGGCTCTCTAACCGGCTGGCTGAGTGTTCTGTGTTCTAGGTTTATCAGGAGGCGGCAGCCGTTAGCTAACTGTAGGGCTTATTCAGAGTGGCTTGTATTCAACTTTGTATTGGAACCAATATTAAAGTCAAGAGGCACATCTTAGGTGTCCCCCAGTGCCTAGAAAACTAAAGCAGGAACTCAGATAGAAGGAGATGGACAAAAGAGTTCACTTTAAGATAAATTCCTGAATTAAATAAAATGCAAATCTTAACAAAACAAAACCACAACCTACAATTACTAGGCAGTACCCCAGTGGATTATGAATCCTTGGAGCTTAGATTTTACTGTATAGAGTGGGAAATAAGATGGTAGAGATTACCATGTATAAGAGTCTAAGCCTGGCCAGTTGGCCAGAGACTTCATTGGAGACAGGGAGAAGAAGATAAGTGTGTGGGGATCAACCTAATCATACCAACTCCTAGCCCTGCCCGTCCTGCCCCCCACTCCATGGTTATTTTCTAAGGCAACGATTTCACATGACTTAGGAGAAAGATGGATGATAAGAGCATGGATTCTTTCCTAGAAGACACTGCATCACAGTTAGTAAAGAATATCATTCTAGAACTAGTGTGTTTTAAGTGTACTAACTGATGTGGTGTTGAACTCAGGCTAGGTTCAGGGAGCCATTGGCTCCCTGTTTACCTCTTTACATTTGACGTCACGGTGTGCGTCAGGTTGTGTGGTACGATTTCTAAAAATCTTTCTGGTTTGGAGATGTGATGATCCCAGTGGTTTTGTTACAAGGTTCTTTGCATCACCGTTGTAGGATGTAGCCCCATTACACCAAGGCTATGTAGAGGATGTGATGATGACTAGCTGGTAATTTGTGTTGTGTTTAGGAACCGCGGTCCAAGGAGGGCAGTGAGTACTTCGACAGCCGCTCAGATGGACTGAATGCAGACATGCAGGGGCCCACGCAAACATCTGCCTTACTGTGGTCAGGGGGCTCAGCTCAGACCCTGCCCCAGAGAAGCGAGTCCACTCACGTGATTGGCAGCGATCCCCTCCGTCAGAACATTTACGAGAACTTCATGCGCGAGCTGGAAATGAGCAGGACCAACATGGAGCACGCGGAAACGTCCACAGAAACTGTGGAGTCCAGCAGCGAGTCCCTCAGCTCCCTGGAGCAGCTGGATCTGCTCTTTGAGAAGGAGCAAGGAGTGGTCCGGAAAGCCGGGTGGCTCTTCTTCAAACCCCTTGTCACCTTGCAGAAGGAGAGGAAATTGGAGCTGGTGGCTCGGAGGAAGTGGAAGCAGTACTGGGTGACGCTGAAAGGTACGCGGGTTGTGGTTCACTGAAGCCTTATCCTTTGGCTACCCTGTCGCCAGGAAGTGCTGGTGGGTCAGCATGAGTGTGAGTAAGTAAAGGACACTGTGTGTCTGTGCTTGTGTGCAGTATATACACGTGTACATGCGCATACATGCAGAAGCAGGAGACAGGCTCGGATGCCATTCCCGAGGTGCTATCCACCTTATTTTGAGTCAGTCTCTCTCCGGCTTAGAGATCTCCAATTCAGCCAAACTCACTGGCTAGTGAGTCCCAACATCCACCCGTCTTTACCTTCCCAGGACTGGGATTTTTAAAACTATGGATATGTCTAAGTTTTTGTTTTTAATGTGGATTCTGGGGATCAAATGCAGGGCTTCATGCTTGCAAGGCAAGAACTTGATGACCCGAGTCAGTCGCATTCCCAGCCCTAACTTGAAAGATTGTGACATATCATCTTATGGCACACTCTACTGAAAATACTTTTTAAATTAAATTCTTTTCTGTGTATGTTACCCTGCCATTCTTTGATACTTTACTTGTATCTCGAATAATACGAAACCTTAAATAACAGTCACATATATGTCACTTAGTTGTATTTTCCATTCTGCACGTGCTCAGAATCCAAAGCTAGAATTCCCTCCCTAGATGGAATGCTGTCTAGAAAATTGGACCTGTATCTTCCCCATTTATGGACTAAAAACGTCTTATTGCCACCACCACTGTACAGCTGTTCCTTTGCTCATTGGTTTGGGGTTGGACCTGGGGCCTTGGACATGCTAAGCATACGCTGAAAGACAACACTACACTCTCAGTGTGACCCCCCCCCCCCCTTTTCTACTCCCTCCTTCCCCCATGTTCCTTTCTTAGAACAGAAACAGGAACTTGTCTTGTTAAGGGAAGAACACCTCTCACAAGTGTTGCCAGTTAGCAACTGTGATTGCTTTGCTTGATGCGATTTGGAAGAGCTCCATCTTGTGAGGCGGTGAGAGGCCTCAGTGAGCACAGCCCTGATCATGCAGGTGCAGACAGGAGGCGCAGCCTCTGCCTCCCCAAAGGCCTCCTATGATTGTTAGAGAGGCTGAGTAGGACATGTCGGAAGTCACGATTGGATGTCCCCACCCCTACTTCCACAGGGAAGAGAGCAGAAACGCAAAATCACACATGGACACAGTAGGTGTGAACTGCCTAAGTGCCTCCCTCCTGGTGCCCCTTCTTAGCTTTCCCGTGCTCTCTGTTAAGCAATTTCTGAAGCCCTCCCCCCAACCTCGGTGGGTAGGCTTCATTTCTTTATTGTTTCATAAGCTCCTCTAGTAAGCTTTCCCAGTGGACTGTGCGTGAAGGTCACGCCCCAGGACCCAGTGAATTCTCATTATGGGTTAGAATCCTTATGGTTCATGATTGGCTGAGAAAGGCGAAGAACAGACCCAGTTTTTAAGTCTCAGGGAAGCAGGCTTTCATGCATGAGAAGGGAGATTTGGAAACATGAAATAAAGGATCAGATCCAGTAAGAAGTTGGAAGGGATAAGAAAATTAGGTAGGCCTTAGCTGCCTCAGGCCAGGGCATGAGATTTTGCTGAAACGTTTTGTAAGTGCAAAAAGGTTTAAGGATTTGATTTGTAGGCCATGAGGAAATGTGTTTCCAGGGAGACAGGGTGGAAGTAAAGGTGAGTGTGTCTTTAAAGGATAGATGTTATCCTCCATCATGAGAGGTCTCGGGACTCTTGTGATAGAGGTAACAGTGCCCTCCCTTCTCCCTAGTCTTGTGTGACAGACTTTTCCTAGAGAAATAGAACAGGTCTACAGTACCAGGTACATCATGCCTCCCATGGAGCAGACATCCAGTCCAATCCAAAGCCTTGGCTACCCCCATAACCTTCATGTCTCCGTTTCTTCCTTCTGGGAATTCACTGTGTTAAGGTCAACTTTCTTGGCTTCTATAAATTCTATAAATTATAATGTTGGAACTAATGTATTTGGGCTAATCTTTAATTATATATATATATATATATAAAATTAAAATTTGGAAATTATCCTTGAGGTAATCATGTGGATAAATTGGAAATGGTTTTCTGCAGAGAGGGATTATTACTGAACTGTCTCGTGACCTGCTGTCACAACTGACGTATACAGTGCCAAGCAGACAACCATCAGAGTTTGGACTATAGAACATTTAACAGGGAACATCTGCCTTTTCCAATGAGTGGATTTCCCTGCAGTTCACAGGGTTTCCTGGGCTGAGAGGGGTTGCCAAGGTTACTCAAACTCACAATATCCTGTGCGTGAGAATGAGGGTGCTGAGGTGAGTTGTTCAGATCCCTGCTCCACTGTGGTGTGACCTGGGGCACCCACATGTGACTGCACCCCTGGTAGATTGGAGTCTGTCACTGACAACCTTGTAGCCATGTGGAGAGAGGGCCTGTGGAGTCAGGTTGGAGGTAGGCTGCATTGTCATTGATCAGTGATGCCACGTTGAGCAATCATCTAGTTTTCAGTCTGGTCCTGAGGGGTTGACTAGGCATGCTGCACATGCCAGGGTTTCCTTGTTCAAACACCGGCCTCCTTTGCAGGTGTCTGGGATATCTGGGGATTGTATCATTTACCTCTCACACCTTTCCTACATTCTCTGGTCCTGTGGTAGGGACGTCATTCTGCTTCTCTCTTTCCCAGGCTGTACTCTGCTGTTTTATGAGACGTACGGAAAGAATTCCACAGACCAGAACAGCGCCCCACGGTGTGCCCTCTTCGCAGAGGACAGCATCGTGCAGTCTGTCCCAGAGCATCCCAAGAAGGAGCACGTGTTCTGCCTGAGCAACTCCTGTGGGGATGTCTACCTTTTCCAGGTACTGCTGCTGCTGCTTTGCAAATGGAAGGACGAGGCGACGGCACATGAGTGACTGAGAGCAAGAAGGATTAAAAAGGAACTTGGACATGAATTCAGCAAATGTTCCATTATGCTTTGGGATTAGGATGTGAGCAGGAGACTGTGGCTTCTCGTACTCACCTGTGCCAAGACCCGGCCATTCCTATAGTGGGCATTTGTCAGGTCCTTGTGAAGTTCCAGGCTATTGCCTGTCATATCATGTGAGGACAAAGAGAAAATATTGTGCTTTGTGCTCTGGGTAACACATGACTTAGAGAGGGTAACGTCCAAGAGTTCCAGAACTGAGATCTTTTAAAGAAAGCCTGGAGATTGTAGCCAGGGAAGCTTCAACAACTCCCAGGAATCCTAGTAAAAGTCAAAGAAGTAGCTTTTCAGATACACTAGACCCTCCTGGACAAGTGTTTTGAATGTGACCGCTGCCTTTGGATAATTAATACCCAGGGTATCTGCCACTGGGATTTTTAGCAATTTGATAGCAATGCCTAGCATGGTGGTGAGTCCTGCAGATTTTCTGGTACCATTGTCGAGCTCCTGTGTCTTCTTGGAGTACTTAGCCAACTTCTTGACACTTTGGACTTGGAACAAGTAGGTTTATGAGAGTTCACAGAAGCCAAGCAGGGGGTAAGTCACACCTGTACTTGGAAGGCTGAGGCAGGAAGATCACTGTGAGTTCAAAATTATCCTGGGCTACATAGTGCTTTCTAGCATAGCCTGAGCTACACAGAGAGACACCACCACCACCAACAACAACCAAAAGACCTTATAGGATTGCTTTTAGCATGAATGTGCTGTGTATGACATGATGTCACCTTGGGTTGATAGACCCTTGTTTTCTTTCACTAACTGAGAGCTGTTTATTTGTTCCTTGCTTTTCTGATTGTCACACTTACATTTTTTTATTTCCTTTTTTATTTCCATGATGACATACCCTGACAAAAATCAACAAGAAAAGGTTCATTTTAGTTCAGGATCCTAGGTAGCAGTCTATCACTGTGGTGAAGTCACTGTGTGTGTGTGTGTGTGTGTGTGTGTGTGTGTGTGTGTGTGTGT